AAGGATCCCAGGAATCAGGACTCTGGGTTTTTTTTTTTTTTTCTTTTGCAGCTGTGTTCTAGATTTCCTCTAATAATGCAAAGTTATACACAGAATTGAAAGAGACATTAATATTAACTTTATTCTAACCCTATCAATTTTTTTTAAAGATTTTATTTATTTTTAGAGAGAGAGAGAGCAGAGGGAGGAGCACAGGGAGAGGGAGAGAGAGGGAATCTCAAACAGACTCTGTGTTGAGCATGGAGCCAGATGTGGGGCTTGGTCCCAGGACTCTGAGATCCCAACCTGAGTCGAAACTAAGAGCGGGGCACTCAACTGACTGAGACACCCAGGTGCCCCCCAGCCCTATCTCAAAAAAAAAAAAAATAGGGACCTGGAGACCAGTGACAAAATCCCTAAGGCAACATGGTGCGTTTTAGGCTGAGCCTGATTCTAGAACCTCTGTCTCAGGATTCCCCATCTTGTGAAACCTTTACCACATTGTAGCCCCTGGACTCCCTTTTCCCTTGTGCAAAACAGAACCAAGTAGGGTGTGCTACCTCTCTCTCTCAAGGGTCACCGAGGGTGTGTCTACAGTATCTTGTTACTTTTGGAGGAAGATTACCCCAAATATATATTAGCATAAAAATTCTAACAATGTGTCTAACAAACAGCAAGTTCTCAGTAGCAACGCCAACCTACTCAATATATGCAAGCACTATATTGCTTCATTTCCTGTGGGTTCATTTATTTAATCATCCCAACAAACCCACAAAGTAGGTATTCTAATTAAGTTCATTTTAAAAACAAGACAACAGAGGCTTAGGGAAGGTAAGCAGCTTCCTCTTTCAGGAAGTCATTTATAAAATGAAGCCTGCTTCTCAGAGTTGCCCTGCGAAAAACCAAAGCTCTTTTGTTTAAAATATTCTTACTGTTATTACATTATCTTCTATAATCCTCTTGGGGCTACCAACTTTAGTCCTTTGTTTGATGATGAAAATGGGGACAGATGGTGAAAGTAATTCCCGGCATCAGTTGGTCACACTAACCCTAGCCTAAGATTCCATGACAAGCACAGAAATCTCAGCAGCTCACTGCGACAGGTATTTCTTTTTTTTTCTTTTTTTCCCCCTTTTTGGCCAATTTAAAAAATTTTTTATTGTTATGTTAATCACCATACATTACATCATTTGTTTTAGATGTAGTGTTCCATGATTCATTGTTTGTGCATAACACCCAGTGCTCCATGCAGAACGTGCCCTCTTTAATACCCATCACCTGGCTAACCCATCCTCCCACCCCCCCTCCCCTCTAGAACCCTCAGTTTGTTTTTCAGAGTCCATCGTCTCTCATCGTTCGTCTACCCCTCCGATTTCCCCCCTTCATTCTTCCCCTCCTGCTACCTTCTTCTTTTTTTTTTTCTTAACATATATTGCATTATTTGTTTCAGAGGTACAGATCTGATTCAATAGCCTTGCACAATTCACAGTGCTTACCAGAGCACATACCCTCCCCAGTGTCTATCACCCAGTCACCCCATCCCTCCCACCCCACCCCCCACTCCAGCAACCCTCAGTTTGTTTCCTGCAATTAAGAATTCCTCATATCAGGGGCGCCTGGGTGGCTCAGTCGGTTAAGCGTCTGCCTTCGGCTCAGGTCATGATCCCAGGGTCCTGGGATCGAGTCCCGCATCGGGCTCCCTGCTCAGCGGGGAGTCTGCTTCTCCCTCTCCCTCTCCCTGCTAATGCTCTCTCTCTGTCTCTGTAGCTCTGTGTCTCAAATGAATTAATAAATTCTTAAAAAAAAAAAAAAGAATTCCTCATATCAGTGAGATCATATGATACATGTCTTTCTCTGTTTGACTTATTTCGCTTAGCATAATACCCTCCAGTTCCATCCACGTCATTGCAAATGGCAAGATCTCATTCCTTTTGATGGCTGCATAATATTCCATTGTGTATATATATACACCACCTCTTCTTTATCCATTCATCTGTCGATGGACATCTTGGCTCTTTCCACAGTTTGGCTATTGTGGACATTGCTGCTATAAACATCGGGGTGCACGAACCCCTTCGGATCCCTACATTTGTATCTTTGAGGTAAATACCCACTAGTGCAATTGCTGGATTGTATGGTAGCTCTATTTTCAAATTTTGAGGAACCTCCATACAGTTTTCCACAGTGGCTGCACCAGCTTGCATTCCCACCAACAGTGTAGGAGGGTTCCCCTTTCTCCGCATCCCCGCCAACATCTATCCTTTCCTGACTTGTTAATTTTAGCCATTCTGACTGGTGTGAGGTGGTATCTCATTGAGGTTTTGATTTGGATTTCCCTGATGCCGAGTGATGTTGAGCACTTTTTCATGTGTCTGTTGGCCATTTGGATGTCTTCACTGGAAAAATGTCTGTTCATGTCTTCTGCCCATTTCTTGATTGGATTCTTTGTTCTTTGGGTGTTGAGTTTGATGAGTTCTTTATACATTTTGGATACTAGCGCTTTATCTGATATGTCATTTGCAAATATCTTCTTCCATTCTGTCGGTTGTCTTTGGGTTTTGTTGACTGTTTCCTTTGCTGTGCAAAAGCTTTTTATCTTGATGAAGTCCCAATAGTTCATTTTTGTCCTTGCTTCCCTTGACTTTGGCAATGTTTCTAGGAAGAAGTTGCTGTGGCTGAGGTCGAAGAGGTTGCTGCCTGTGTTCTCCTTTAGGATTTTGATGGACTCCTGTCTCACATTGAGGTCTTTCAACCATTTGGAGTCAATTTTTGTGTGTGGTGTAAGGAAATGGTCCAGTTTCATTCTTCTGCATGTGGCTGTCCAATTTTCCCAACACCATTTGTTGAAGAGACTGTCTTTGTTCCATTGGACATTCTTTCCTGCTTTGTCGGAGATTAGTTGACCATAGAGTTGAGCCCAGAAAAAGAGCTCTTCTGGGCTCTCTATTCTGTTCCATTGATGGATGTGTCTGTTTTTGTGCCAGTACCATACTGTCTTGATGATGACAGCTTTGTAATAGAGCTGGAAGTCCGGAATTGTGATGCAGCCAGCTTTGCTTTTCTTTTTCAACATTCCTCTGGCTATTCAGGGTCTTTTCTGGTTCCATACAAATTTTAGGATTATTTGTTCCATTTCTTTGAAAAAAAGTGGATGGTATTTTGATGGGGATTGCAGTGAATGTGTAGATTGCTCTAGGTAGCATTGACATCTTCACAATATTTGTTCTTCCAATCCATGAGCATGGAACGTTTTTCCATTTCTTTGTGTCTTCCTCAATTTCTTTCATGAGTATTTTATAGTTTTCTGAGTACAGATCCTTTGCCTCTTTGGTTAGATTTATTCCTAGGTATCTTATGGTTTTGGGTGCAATTGTAAATGGGATTGAATCCTTAATTTCTCTTTCTTCTGTCTTGTTGTTGGTGTATAGGAATGCCACTGACTTCTGTGCATGGATTTTATATCCTGCCACTTGACTGAATTCCTGTATGAGTTCTAGCAGTTTTGGGGTGGAGTCTTTTGGGTTTTCCACATAAAGTATCATATCATCTGTAAAGAGTGAGAGTTTGACTTCTTCTTTGCCAATTTGGATGCCTTTTCTTTCTTTTTGTTGTCTGATTGCTGTGGCTAGGACTTCTAATACTCTGTTGAATAGCAGTGGTGACAGTGGACATCCCTGCCGCGTTCCTGACCTTAGGGGAAAGCTCTCAGTTTTTCCCCATTGAGAATGAAATTTGCTGTAGGTTCTTCATAGATGGCTTTTATGATACTGAGGTATGTACCCTCTATGCCTATACTCTGAAGAGTTTTGATCAAGAAAGGATGCTGTACTTTGTCAAATGCTTTTTCTGCATCTATTGAGAGGATCCTATGATTCTTGTTCTTTCCTTTGTTAATGTATTGTATCACGTTGATTGATTTGCAGATGTTGAAACAACCTTGCAGTCCAGGGATAAATCCCACTTGGTTGTGGTGAATAATCCTTTTAATGTACTGTTGGATCCTATTGGCTAGTATTTTGGTGAGAATTTTTGCATTCATGTTCATCAGGGATATTGGTCTGTAATTCTCCTTTTTTTTTTAATTCTTATGTTAATCCCCATACATGACATCATTAGTTTTAGATGAAGTGTTCCATGATTCATTTTTGTGCATAACACCCAGTGCTCCATGCAGAATGTGCCCTCCTCAATACCCATGATTTGCTCCATTATACCTTCTGCCCCTCTCTCTCTTTCTTCTTCTTCTGGGATCCCAATTATTCTAATGTTGTTTCGTCTTATGGTATCGCTTATCTCTTGAATTCTGCCCTCGTGATCCAGTAATTGTTTATCTCTCTTTTTCTCAGCTTCTTTATTTTCCATCATTTCATCTTCTATATTGCTGATTCTCTCTTCTGCCTCATTTATTCTAGCACTTAGCGCCCCCATTTTTGATTGCACCTCATTAATAGCCTTTTTGATTTCGACTTGGTTGGATTTTAGTTCTTTTACTTCTCCAGAAAAGGTTTCTCTAATAACTTCCATGTTTTTTTCAAGCCCAGCTAGTATCTTTAAAGTGATGATTCTGAACTCTAGATCTGACATCGTACTAATGTCCATATTGAGTAGGTCCCTGGCAGTCGGTACTACCTCTTGTTCTTTTTGTTGAGGTGATTTTTTCCATCTTGTCATTTTGTGCCGAGGAGAATAGATTAATGAGAGAACAAAATGCTAACAGAGTAACAACGTCCCCAGAAAATATACTCTAAACAAATCAGAAAAGACCTGAAGCAGTGGGAAAAGAAAGGGAAAGAGAGAAAAAAGAAAAAGATAAAAACAAAAACAAACAGAACAAAACCACAACAACAGAAAAACACCAGAATGTGATCAAATATGATCAGGCTGGTATATAGATCAGTGCCACACACTGGATTTGGGGTGTATTTTGGTCTTTTAGAAGAAAGTGCCTCCCAAAATTTTAAAGAAAGAAAACCTTATATATGTACAAAAATAAGGGTTGATATGATGAAGGGATGGAATATGACTGTAAAGATGGAAATTATAAAATATTTTATAAAAGGAATTGATAAGAAGTTGTTTGAAAAAAGAAAGAAGAGGATTTAAAAAAAGAAAAAAGAAAAAAAAAGGGAGAGAATGTGATCAGGCAGGGGAATAGAAAACACCATATACTAGAGATTTAGGGTATATTTTAATCTGTTAGAAGATACTATCTCAAAATTTTAAAGAGAGAACAACTTATATATATAAGCCAAAAATACGGGTAACTACTATGAAGGGATAGAATATGACTCTAAAAATGAAAAATAAAAATTTTTTTTTAAAAAAAGGGATTGATAAGATGTTGGTTGAAAAAGGGAAAAAGAAAAATTCAAAAAAAAGAAAAAAGTTTAAAAAAAATTAACTTTGAAAGACTAAAGAATCATGGTAAAAAAGCCATGAATTCTATGTGCAGTATTCCCCTAGCGCTGGAGTTCTGCCATTCTCATTGATCCGTAAACTTGGTCTTGGCCGGCTGTTCTCGCTGATCTTCTGGGGAGGGGCCTGTTGCCGTGGTTTCCAAATGTCTCTGCCGGAGGCGGAAGTGCCCCGCCCTTGCCCCCTCCCGGCTAAGTAATCTGCTCGGGTTTGCTCTCCGGGGCTTTTGTTCCCTGCGAGCTTTCCGTACAGCTTTGGAGGCGGAGAGTGAAAATGGCGGCCTCCCAATCTCTGCTCCGGAGGAGCCGAGAACTCGGGGCCCCGCTCCTCAGTGAGCCCCCAGAGAAAAGCCGTCAGTCACTCCCAGATCCCCGCTCTCCGGCCGCACTCCGTGCTCGCCCGGGCTGTGACCGCGCGTTTCTATCTCTGGCACCCGACCCCGTGTGGAGTCTCCAAACCCAGCAGATCCCTGCGGTGCACTCCCGCGCGGCTCCTCCCGGGGGAGGAAGGTGAGTCTCCCCGGATCAGCCGCTTTTTGGGTCCCTGCTGGAGGAGCAGGGGCCCTGGGCTCCGCCTCTGCAGCCGGCTTCCCTGCTCCGTTACCTGGGAGCTCTGCCGCACTCAGGCACCCCCGGTCTTTCTGTGACCCCGAGGGTCCTGAGACCACACTGTCCCATGAGGGTTCCACCCCCCGCTTAGCCACCAGAGTGACGTCCCTCGGCGGAGCAGACTTTTAAAAGTTCCGATTTTGTGCTCCGCGGCTCTATCACTTGCCAGAAGCGGCCGACGGAGGCCCCTCCCCCGCCGTCTATCCTCCCGAATATCGCCTCGGATTCACTTCTCCGCACGTCCTACCTTCCAGAAAGTGGTCGCTTTTCTGTTCAGAGAGTTGTTGCTCTTCTTTTCTTCGATCTCCTGTTGGGTTTGTAGGTGTTCAGAATGGTTTGATCCCTATCCAGCTGAATTCCTGAGACCAGACAAAATCCAGGTCTCCTACTGCTCTGCCATCTTGCTCCGCTCCCGACAGGTATTTCTTTGTTGTTCATGTCACAGCCTGATATTGGTCAGGCAGCTTGCCCAAGGCACTCTTCTGAGGAGTGACTCAGCGATCCAGCTGCTTGTAAATCATAGCCAGCATCTGGAACACGTGGCTCCCAAGTTCACTGAGGCAAGGGAGAGAGGGTTGATAGATTGTATAGGGGGCTTTAAAGAACCAGGCATGGAAGCAACTTCTACCACATGTGTCTCCATCCTGTGGCCCTACATCATCATATGACTCCAAGTGTAAAGAAGGCTGAGAAACACATGAAGACTTGGTAAGTGCTAATAGCTTCTATGCAGTCTGTCCTTTGCTCACTGCTTCTCAATATAGGTTAACACAATCAACCAATCCCCAAGAGAGACCAACCCAAAATCCTATAAGGTCATTGCATCAAACTAAATGTCTGGGATCTCTGGATAGTAAGTGGTCCTCTCTGTCAGGTGAGGGCATGGATCTACTTTGTCCAGTGACCTCTGAACTAAAAGACCAGTTATTTGCCCCTGACATATCAAGTTTGAAGAGGACAGTTTCTTGCAACCAACACCTTCATTCATGGAGGGGAAGATGTCACACCAGTGGCCAATGCTCTTTAGCGATCCTGCAGTCCTTCAGGCAGATGTTGTATAAGTCCCTCACCCTTGGTTAGGCTTGATTCTGCAATCTGGGGAAGCACTTTTGTCTTTTTGATCTTGGCTCCTGATTGTTTTTGTGAAGTCCTTCCTTCTACATTATTTCCCTTGGCCACCTCTGAGGTGGGTTTGGAAGGGGCATATTCTCCTCCGGGGCTCTTCAGCCTTGGAAGATGATTTGCTACCCTATAGAGCTTGAAGTTTGTTTTCATTTTGAATGGTCAATGGCTTCTTGTTTTCAGCGCAGGCTCATTCATGGTTTTATTGGCACTATAGTCTAGTTCTCTTGAGAACTTAGCAGGCTTCTGATCTCTTTCCACCCAGCCAGTTCCATCTGCCAGTAGCCACAGCCCGTTTCTTTCTAGATATACTTCTCAAATTATTTTTCTGCCTTTTCTTCTCTCCCCATTCTTCTTTATGAGGCTTGAAATACAAGGCGACAACTTCAATCTGATTTTTGCCCTAAGTCACTTCGTCCAACTCAGAGTTTTTTTGCCTGGATTTTTATTACTGAACTCTTTTTACTTTTTTCCCCTTAAATTAAACCTTCTCTTAATGTTTGGGATGTACAAATAGATGGCTTTTCCAACAATGTAAGATTCTGAATTTGTGGACTTTATTCTATTTCATTTTTACGTTAAAATGAGTCAGTGCTTTCCTGAGTTCATCTCTTTCTCTCAGTACCCTGACCAATGCAGACCAAACCAACCAATGCATTACTAATCATATTTTAAAACTCTCTCCTTGGAGCTATAATTTCAGCAGAGAGGACCTGACAGTTTTGACACTTTGTAACAAGATTCTCCATCGTTTCAACCTGAGATAGCTTCCTCACTGCCTGCTGCCAAATGTCAAGCCAATGCTACACATTTTAGGTTTCTACTGGCAACACATGATCATGGTACCAATTCCTCTATTAATTAGGGTTAAGCTAGGCTCCCAACTTCAGTGGCTTAACCTAACAAAGGATTATTTCTTTTGCCTGTCACAGAGCAGGGGCCAAGTGGCTCTCCTCCAGTGGCTTAAGGACATGGGCTGCCTCCATCTGAAGGCTGAGATTTTTGGAGCATGTTGCCTCCAAGGTCAGCATGGTAGAGGAAGAGAAGCCCAGAACTATGAGCTGTTTATGGGGAAGTGGCTTACATCATTTTGGTCCTCACCCAGTTGGTTAGAATCCAGTCACCTGGCCCTAAATAAATGCAATGTAGGCTGGAAAATGCAGAAGAACACATGAACATGTGGTGGGCATTTACAACTTCAGCTATTTTAAGGCCGGTGCATGCCCAACAGCCAAGTCTAGGAGGTGGGAAAGTTCAGACCAAAGGCACTCTTCCATGTCTTCATGACATGCCAGAGACGCATGTCAAGCCCAGAGACTGCACTGATCTGAAAGAGGACATCAGGGTGTACCCTTCAGTCTTCTGCAGACAGGGCTGGGAACTAGTTGAAAAGTTGGAAGGGGCACCTTGCCCACCCAACCCTCTGTATTAGAATCTTTGGTGATGGTACTTGGAAATCTACATTTTTACTAATATCTAAGAGATGCTGATGCCAGTATGAGAGCCATTGATCTACCTAAATCTCCATGGATGGGGGCCCAGTCAGGAAAAACAACTTGCCCTAATTTACTAGGCACATTAATTGTACATGCAGTCTGATTTTTAGTACCATTAAACTCCATGCCCAGTTATGTATCAGCTTCTGTTCCTGGTTGTGGTTTGGAATTTATCTTTAATGCTCTGTGTCCAAAAGAGGCCCGATGAGGACAAATGAGTTCAGAATTCCTTGGAAATGGTAGGATAAGCTTGACGAAGAGAGTGTGATCAGATCCTTTTTGGCCCTGGGCACATGGAACCCATCTCTTCTTGCCCATCCTACTACCTGACACTGCTTGATATTTGCCTGCACCACAGGGCTAGCTGTGTTTCATTTTACTATAGTATCTATCTATTTCCTGTCTATGCCTGGTCAGCCTACTGTTGTTCCCCACTGGCATTTGAGATTACTCTCCTTACTGATGTTTGGGGATGAGGACTGTTGGGCTGGAGGGGGCGCAGAAAGGGCTGTTGGACTTGGCCTGAGCATCCATAATGGCCTGAGCACCCACGAGTCACCAATGAATTGTCTGCTTGCCATCAAAGTGTTTTAATTCTCCTGACACCTTGAAATTTCTATGGGAGTTTTGATGCAAGCCTCTCTCTCCAAGAAGCTCAGCTTGAGGTTATCAAGAGTTTGTCAGTATGCTGCCTTGTCCTACCCTCCTTGCTCATACCCTTCATACCCTCCTCCTACCCTCCTTGCTCTTCCTCAACCTATAGAGATAGAAATCTTTAAGACATGTGGTTCCCAGATGTGGAAGGGAACTTCTGAGGTCATCTGTTGATTCCCTCCCTGGTTCCTCAATGCAGGTGATACTTGTATTATTCTGGATTCAAGGGTTAGAAGAAAGAAAACCAGCCAGCTGTAAGACTAACGCAACAGCTGAGGGGATAGGCTGTTGGGTAGGGCATGGGATGGTGAGAAAGGAAATGATTTTGGAAAGGAAGAAGGTATTTGAACAAATGGCTGAAGCTGATGTCAGCTAGAGCTGCAGAGTTTGCTAAACCTGGCCCCAGCCAACCTGACTCTCCTTGCCATGGAGGTGAGCCCAACCTGGGGGCAAGCCCAGAGTCCATCATATGCCCATTCCCCCGGAACACAAGCCCCACCTTCTGAAACCAGCTCTCCTCTTCCTGGTACTCCCACCAGCTTTATCTTGTCCTTTAAAAGGCCATCAAAGTAAAATTTTATCCAAAAATATATTTTATGTGAAAATTCAAGAGTTCTACATATAAAAATATTCAGTTCTATAATAATATTATGGTTTCATAGGGACATCACCTCTTAAAAATTAAATATATGCACATTTGCATTGATTCATTCAAGGATCTTCACCATACCACAGCGAGGTAGAGAGGAAGGGAGCATCCTGCAGTTTTTAGGGGGTTGAAGTGATATGATATGTCCAAGGGTGTACATTTAAAACACATACAATTTCAGAGCACATTAAATTATTAACAACTTAGAAGACATAGAGCATTACTTAAGAAAAACTATGATTCACATTATTACACAAATCTCATATGCCTTAGAATTGTAATAGAATAATCTCAGAAGGTATGTTGGAAAAGATAGGGAATATAAATTGTTTCCTGGGTACTGGCTTGGCTTCATTATGGGCATGAGTGTTCACAGCTTTGGGGTTTGGGTTTTCTTGTCCAGGTACTCCACGAGATCCTGGACCCACTTCTGCTTGGGGTCAGCACAGACTTCCTTGGCCAGTTTGGTCTTGAAGCTGTGGGAAGAGAGGGCAGTTAGAGAGAGTGCACTGAAGAGTCAACCTGGGAGTGTAACCCACTCTATGGGAAACCTGCCTGACCCATTAGCCTGGGGTGATGGAGGAGGATGGAAGGAACCTCAGGGGAAGCAACTACGTTTGCTGGCCCTGGTGAAAGAAACCATCTTGTCTCCTGGATGAAGGAACTGACATCTGAACCAACATCTGGACAGGCAGCTGGGAATGGGAAGTCTCTATTTTCTCAAGTTCACTTTTCCCATAAAAAAATTTCTGGGATTGGATTAGAGCTGGTCTAAGTATCTGGGGGTTAAATTCCAACTGAAGTCTTATAATAACCCTATCCACTGCCTGGGAGCAGAACTCAGGATCAAGGGTTGAGTGCGGGTGGTCATGGTGTCACCCACATCACAGTTTCCCAGGGTCAATAGCTGCTGGTAATTCTTCTTTAGCTCTTCAGCTTCTGGATGGGGATCTTCTTCTTCTTCTTTTTTTTTTTTTTTT